AAATTAGATAATGTTTCTGTGCAACTGGCTTTTTAAGGGATTTGTGCTAAGTTTATGCATAGATATAGAAGTTGGGATTTCTGGCATGTCTATAGCGGTCCAAGCGAAAACATTTTTGTTAACTCGAAGGAAAGCTATCAACTCTGCTCTTTCTTCTGGATTCAAATGAATTCCAATCTAGGTTTTCCTACTTGGATCTCTGTCATCAATCTATACCTTTTCAACATGTTCAACCAGAGTAGCTCGAGTTTCATCTTTTGGTCGATTGTCAAGTATCTCTACTCTCATAACTTGTTTCTCAAGGGCACCTTGGGGAGCAGTTTTTGACATCTGATTTTTCTCCTTATGGGGTTGTGTGACCGAGGTAATATAACAATGCTTGGCTACCTCTTGGTTCCCTCTCAACATTGTTATTCTCATGGTTACACAAATATGATTGAGAAACTATGACCTGGATTTTTGTCAACATGGGTTGGCCAATTACAACATTAAAAGAAAATGCCATTTTGACAACCAAGAACCGAACTGAGGGATTGACATAATTTCGACCACTCCCAAACACCACATTGAGAGTAAGGACCCCTTCAACTAGAACTAGTTGGTTATTGAAACCGTAAATATGGCCATCGCACTTCTGCAATAGAGTCAAGTCAAGGCCCAAGCTCTCGAAACAATGATAATATATAATGTCTAGTGCACTGCCTATATCAACAAGAACATGTTGTACCTTACAGTTATTGATCATAACAGAAGTGACCAATGGGTCATTATGGGGTGCTACAACACCCTTAAGATCAAAAAATGTGAATGTGATGGGCTGATTCTTCCACTCAACTTCGTCAAATTTTCTCTTTTGAGCTCAATTTTGGTGTTTCTCCTCTCTAGCATATAGCTTTTGTTGCTTGGAGCTCAAACCTCTTACTTCTAGTCCACCCGTAATCATGTGAATAACTCTAGCTGAGGGGGGGAAGGGGTGGGGGTGCTTGTTGATATCCTCCTTTGTCTTTGCTTCCTACATTACGAGCCCCTTGTGGCTGCAATCCTTGTTCTCTTACAAACTTGGGCTAATATATTCTTTGAATGTATTCATTCAACATCCCTTTCCAAGCCAAACCTTCAAATTATGACATTCCTCTATTGTATGACCATGATCTTGATGGAAATCATAATATTTGGTGTGATCTTGCGTAGTAGCAGAGCTTTTCATCGATGCTAGTCGCTTCAAGTCCATTTTATTCTTGATATGCATGAATATCTACGACCTCAACAAATTGAAAAAGGTCCATGTAATTGATGTCTTTCCCAAGGTTTTTCGAGGAGTTGTCAAATCTGGTTTTCCACATCTCAATGTAGAAGTTGGCATCGAACCTTGGTTCTAAACTGTCTTCACCTGTTTCATACCCTGGCTCTCTTCTCTCCAAGTCGGGTTATGATTTTTAACCAGTGTTGGCTTCTATGACAAGGCATATTCTTCAGTTATTATAAACTTCAGAGATCTATCATTGACTTCATCAAAGGTAGTAGGGGATGCTTAATCAAATTATCTCTGAATCTCTCATGGTTAAGACCTTGAATTATAGCTGTTATTTCAACAACTTGATCAAAGAAACTAATCTCCAAAATTGCATCATTGAATTGTTCATGTAATTTCTTAAAGATTCCCTATCCCTCTGGAAGACCCTCATGAGCTAAGGTGCAATCTTCTTAATCTATCTTCTACTAGAAAATTTCATGGCGAAGGCAAAGGCCATCTCTATATAAGAACTGATGGATCTCAAAGGCAAGCTATAATACCAGGTTCGGGCATTACCTCTGAGAGTGGAAGGAAATATTTTACACATCAAAGCATCTGAAGCATTCTGAGCTTGCATGTAGAGCATGCAAGAATGGAAGGCGTGTAGATGATCATCTAGATCCTTAGTTCCATCATATGTTTCAAACTGAGGCATTTGAAAACTGGCAGGATAAGGTTTTAAAGTTACATTGGTGTTCAACAGATGTGGTATGGAGTCAATGTTGTTCTATAAGGGTGGAGTACCTCGCTATGCAACTACCATCGTTTCCAAACTATCCAATCAAGAAGTGACATCATCTGGCAGAGGTTGTTGAGGTGGGACCACATGAGACTAACCCTATGACTCACTAAGGGCTGAAGTAAGTAGGCGGTTATTGGACTGGTCATAAGGTGGTTGCTGTGGCTAAACTTGAGGGTTGTGGGTTTGGATTCAATAAGTTAATAAGGGGATCCCCAAGGTTATTTCGAGCTAAAAGCTGAGTTAGAAGAAGTTGGAAAACACCACATTGTTGTTGCATTGTTGCAAGCTGAGTTGCTACTGGATCACTTCGGTTGGGGATGGAAGTTGAATTATGAGGCTAGGTCTTATCACCCCCTTCATCATGTTGTTCCATAGAATGGGGTAAGTTTGAAATGGGTATTGGGAAGTTATTGGCATTATGCCCCTAACCTTGGCGCAAAGGCTCAGCCTAACTTCCAGTTTGGACTAAGTGGGTATTAACCATGATAAAAAGGTAGCAACAAAGCTTTTAATTTGATTTCCCGCAAACGGCGCCAAATGTAATTGCAAAGAACCACTGCATCTTCCTTAGTCCAAATCTTCTCTTCGACTAGACCTATAAAGCCCCGAAATGGGTCCTCAAGGTAAACACTTCGATGCCTAAGTCAACAATAGTGTGGTCTACCTTGAGAAAAGACTGTAAAAGAAGCTTTAGGTTAGTTTCAATTACCTTTTTGAAGTGACCCATGGGAGTACTTATAGGCTTTAATGAGGTGTCCATGTGGCTTGCTTAATGAGATAATTGGGGTCTAATGTGTCTGGTTAGGCAATGATCACGGGAATGGAGGATTAAGTGTGAGCATGCGTACTATAGTTACCATGCAACTGTGCGTCAGGGAGGCATTGAACATACATCATATCTCAGTGATTAAGAAATTGCCAAGCAATACGTCAGAGATTATTGACCTTGAACCTATACTTACAAGTGATTCTATATATTGGACTCTCTTGCCTACAAAAGTGTTGCTAGTGATCGGCCGAAAACGCGTCCATGAGGGAATGGCGGATTCCTAATTGGAGGAAATTGCTTGTAATGGACTCAACTGTCTGAATAAGATAATTCTTTTGCTTAACAGTGACTCTACATTTCCCATGTCGGTAACCGCACTCGGGTTGCCATTAGTTGTACGCAATGAACCTTTTTGTGACCGTTGAGGTTGGGGCCATGACCGTTGCGGCCCATTTTGAGCCTATGTTATTTTAATATTGAGTTTGTCTAATATATGAGATTTATTAACTAATGTATTTTTAATTAATTTTATAAATTTTTATATTCAATTTATAATTTTTTATGAATTTGAAAATAAAATATTTTATAATATTTTATTTTTATATTATATTTTTTAAAATTTTATATAAAAATTTATGTAAAATTAATTATAAATTGAACATGCACTGTAAGCAGATTAGAAAATTCATTTAATATTTTCCAGCTCAGCCGACGGTGTTTTATAGAAGGCGTTTTAAACGCGTGGTCCACAAAGAGGCTCACCACACAATAGGTTGGGCTTGATTTGCAACGAAAATGGGCCAGCCGATACGAATGTCGGTATATACACTGTAGTAGAAACCGTTTCACTTCGCGCCTCCTGCTTCCTCCATCCCCACCCCTCATCGCGTTGCCGCCGTTGTACGGCCGCAGTTCTGTTTTTTGTTTCATTTGGCTACTGTTTACAGCGAGGGTTTAGTGGCAAATCAGTTCTTTTAACAATCCAGTGGCGACATTCTTCTCCTCAGTGTAAACACTCGCTCAAGCTACTTTTCCGTTCATTTTTCATGCTTTACTTCTCATTCTGTTGAATGTACGGCAAATATGATCTTATTAGGGCTCTAACATTCATTTAATGTTATCAAGTCACATGTAGTACTTCTTCTTCTTCTTCTTTTTTCTTTTTTTTTTTTAATTCTTGGTATAATTAATAAAAAAGATGACAATAAAGAAGGATTGATCGGAAAGTCTTGTCCTTTTCGCAAGAGCCAGTCCTTTTCCAAGATATGGTTGCTAATTCTCAGGGTGGGAACCTTCATCATAAAAGATTTTGGAGAAGCCCACCCAAACAAATTCAAAATTGCAGCACTATTATGTATGGATCATATTGTTTGGTTGGTAGTTATCAAAAAAAGGGGGTGGTGTTTTCGGGCCCTTTGGTGGGACAATAAAGATTACTTTATGCTTCCTCCCCATCTGAAACTTTGTCTATTTTGTGTGTTGGAACAGCACAGGTTACCACATTTACCTACCCTGCCTTGCTCTAAGCTAGACTGGCAATCACGGAGGAAAGCAATATGTGGATCACTTACTTGCTCGGTTGCTCCACATCTGGCTGGGATTGGTATGAGTTAAGATGGCCCCTCTACTCCCTTCAGCTTTTGTGGTTCAGTAGGTGCAATTAGGTACCATATTGATTGATGACTTTGCAGGAAAACAGACCCCCTCTTCATGAGGATGAGGGAACCACAACCATGTTCTGAGGTGAGCATTTTAGTTTTACTACTTTTAAAGATGGGACGCATCTGTGTTACTTATCTTCTTGTCTCAATTGTTTGTGGATTTTGCATTAGTAAAACAAGTGTATGGAGAAGCATCCATATTTCTTAACGTCTGTGCATGACATGAAGTAGAGGAGGAACTACAGTAAGTGATAAAAATGTAGAACATAGTATAAATATACCAAAGACATGAGATTTTATTTATTTTTAATGTCTTTGGTTGTTTCCCTCTGCATTGACAGGAACACTTAACAAGGAGTAGATTTGGATAAGGACAAAAACAAAAAGAAAGAACAATATCTTTCCGAGATCTATTGCCTTTTTTTTTTTTCTCCTTTTTATAGATCCCAGGCCTGCCTTTTATCTAGTAGAGACAAAAGGTATTATGCTTACCCTTTTGTCATTCCCAGTTTCTTCCTTGATGAACTTGAAAACCACCTGTGAATAAGTTAATTAATACAATAGATATTAGGCACATTTAAGCACCCCATATTCACTGTCTACATTCTGGACAAAAGGACATAAATGAGAAGTAAACATAGAGACTAGCCTGCTTCTCTTGAAACTGCTTTGCCAGCAAAAGAGGTATGAAGGAAACCAAGTTTCTTCCTGAATCCTGATTTTCCCTATAATATGCAGTGGTGGTATCATTAAGTTATCCCTTAGAAGAATTTATGTAGAAAAGAGATATTGGAAACAAAAATCTGGGAAGCGTAGATAATAAAGTACCATAGTATTGGTAGCATAGCAGTCTTGTGAATAATCGAAAACATCCATCGAATTTTCCTTTTTGAGATTCTTCTGTAAGGAGACCAATGACACACCATTAGCATAATTTGTTAGAAACGAATCACTGCTATACTTATAACAACATATTACAGCAATCTGTTTAGGAACTTGCCTTGGAAAAGCTTAGCACAGTGGAGCTAGCGGTGTCGTCAAGATAAGAATGCTGTTGGTTTTCTCTTATCTTGTTCTTGCTTTTTCTTTTCTTGGCAAATTCAGCAGCTGATAGAGCAGGAAAAAAATACGCATGTTCTTCATAGCAGTTTTCATCGTCTTCACAACAATGTCTTGGTCCAGAGGATGCATCAGACACCATTGACAAATCCTCCTCACCTTCTTCCACATACTTCACTCGAGCTCCTTTTCCTCCATAATCTTCATCAACAACCCCACTAAAACTCCACCATTTACTCTTCAAAGAGGATTGATCTAAATACAGAGTCCAAACGGACTCACACCCACTACCACATTGTGAATCTGATATATCCATCTTCCACTTCTTTTCTAACCTAAATAGAAACAATCCTTTGGTTCTAACAAACTGAACTACTATTCCAAAAAAACTAGAGAAAATGGGATTCCAATTCACTCCTCCCCCTCACCAGGATTCACACGTATGGAGACACGTAAATTTAAGGAGAGGAAAAGGAGTGTAAGAGGAGAAAGAACCATAGGAATCACACTCAAATCTAGACTTATTTTTGTCCTTTGCTCTATCCCTTAGCCCTCTTTGTTTTTTTTCTAAATGTGAATAAATCAAAACTGCCAGTTGGCTTTGAGTGTATTGTGTTTGTATGGGTGTGGGTGAGAGAGAGACACACACACAGAGCAATTAGCTACAGGGATGATGAGGGAAACGGTTATTTCTTTTTCATGTACAATTGTAGTAATATACAGCTTGTATTGTACATGCATGCCAATGATGCTCTGTCCTATCAGTGGAAAAGTAATAGTAATTTACTAGATCTTTATAACTACATAGCCCTTGTTATGCTTGATTAGAAGCTGTTTATGGATATAGTGTAGTTGCAGAGAACTGAGGTACTCCAGATCTTAAGTCTTCGCTTCAGCTATCCTGCAAAGACCCGAGGTGGATTCTCGGGGTAGACACTCCAATGCTTAAGTCAGCAATAATCAGAGCTACCAGTTATGGAGTGTAAGTAAAAGCTGAGCTCGAGGTTCATTTTCCATACCTCTGTGAGGGGGACCCCGGGGGGTATTTATAGGCCTTCAAGGGGATGTCCACGTGTTGGATCCTCCAAGAAATCAGGGGGACAGGTGTCGAACGTCGCAGGTGCTTCCCATGAGAGACTGGTGCGTACGGAATTGCTGTGGAGCAAGAACAGAGGGGACGAGCTCGAGTGCGATCGAGCTCGTCGCCCTTCAACTAGATC